TAAAATTAATTAATATCAAAATTAAATATTAACTCGAAAATCACAATGTATAAATTGAGTTCAACATATTAACTTTATTCAGAAAATATCCAATAATACTTTATATCACTGTTAAACATACAATTATAATATATATTTATTATTAAGCTTACAGTGTTAGTGAATTTTCCTACTAATGAATTACTCAATTTCTGTTGTATTTGTTGAAATCTCGTGTTTTGATTAACTTGAGTCTTTTGGATCTTTTCAATCTCCGGCAACATCTGACAATTAAAAATAAGTTATAACGCTTGGTAAACWAATTGTAAATCAACAAAATTAAATTGGTTATATTTACATCTAGTGGTCGATAATCAGGCACTGTTTCCTTGGAGAGGAAAGCAAATTTCATACGATAATTAGTGTCATTGCGAGTGGCTTCATTGGAAACAAATGCTTGGGGCTTATGTGTTTTTACTGAAATCCCTATTTATATATTATATTTAAGATTGATTAATAATATTTTAATGATTGTTTTGTTTTATACAAGAAAACAATTATATACCTGTTTTCATTGACATTAAAACTGGCGGTTTGCTAATTCCATTAAACCATTCTTGGGCACTCAATGCTGGTACCGGAGCAGCAGTATCAGGATACAAGTCATGTTGATACTGGTCACTCTAAAACAAATCATATTTTTAAAAAAAAAAATAGTAAAATAATGTTATTTACATTCTTTCAATTTTTAATATTAATATATTTGTCTGAAAATTGCAGAAAAAACAAATGATACTAAATAATAAATTAGATATTGTTAATAATACTGATAAGAAGAAATATATTATGTTATAATTACATAGGATATAGTAAATATAATTTAKAATTGAATATAAAAACAAGTAACACTTAGAATTAACAATTTTGTACAATTATGTGGTTATGGAGCTTGAGAGGGTTTTAAAGGATTTATTATAAAATAATAAATATAGATAAGACATAATATATTAGACATCTCAAACATTAAGTATTTAAAAAAAAATKTATACTTATGTTATTATCTTACCTTTCTTGGAACAATCATTGAAATTGGTTCACAGACATTACGAGTAGTATGTAGTTTATAAAATCGCATAATTTCACAACGACTCACATTACAACCACGTTTAACCATCATTCCAAATCCTTTCTAAAAATAAATTAATTTTAAAATAAGTATAAAATGCCATGGTTAATATATTTAAAAATTAAAATGCAACCAACCTGTGGGCAACCGGATATAAATTGATTTAAAAAATGTATATACGGTGATTCATCAACTATTTCATAATATCTTATATTGCCATCACCCTAAAAATATCACATATTTTGATCAATTAATATATCAATAAAAAAAAAAAAAAA